AGTAATTTATTACTGGGGAGAAACCTAAATATAAGATATAAGAGAAACTGAAAGATGTCTAAATTATGAACTTCCCATAACTGATTCTGTTGTGTACACAACTACTGTATATACCACTATATTAATTGTATGAATAGCAGAGAAAAAGAACTTAAAGTACATGTGTTTTTTGCAAAACTGCATTATCATTACATTTTATTCATTAAAACAGATGCATCGTAGGGTAAAAAATGCAGAGATCAGTCTGAAAAAGAACTGGTGAAGATAAAAAAAAAACATTATGCAGTGAACAGAGAAACTCACAGAAAACCAGAGACAGTGACAAATTATACACTATATCTTTTAACTGATCACTAAGCCCACGGCAAGCTGAAGAAGACATATAACCTTTTATCATCAATATAATGGAAAATCGTGTACTTCAGATGAAAAACTTAATTCACACAGGAGTAGCTTATTATTATGTAAAACACCTGGAGCTTTCTAATACTGTACAAATCAGAGGATGAATGCATTTAACATTGATGTCAGCCTTCAAAGTGCAAGGTTATGGTTGAAGTTATTGCTCTGCTGACATTAAGAAAGATATTAGAGTTTTTTAACACACACCAATATGTCTAAACAGCAAAGGCAATGAATTTGAAGAGTATTATTGCACAAAAGTACACTAAGATCTATATAATGAGACCATTGAGCATTGCATTGCTCTTTTACCAACACGTCTGTGGCAGTACACTGCTCCCAAAGTCAACTAAAGCATCACAAAGACATGTAGCGCATATGTTCTGTTTCTTCAAAGCTGCTGAAAATATTCAACTTGGGTAGGATTCAAAGGTCTCAAAGAATATTGTACATTTAACAATTCTGTCGCCTTTTTCTTTGACTGATACAGAATGTCACAGTGTGACATATGTATCTACAAAAAGTCAAAACCCTACACAAAAAACTGTTAGTCTACTTAATTAAATAAAAATAATTAATTAATCTAAATTAATATTTATTTCTTCTTTCATGTAGACATCACTTTACTTTAAAGTGAAATAAATGTTCATGCCACATGATAAAGAGATCCATCTCCAGTCTTTTAATATCCAGTTACAAGGTGGCAAAAAATGCTCATTATTAACAGGATACCTAAAGCGAAGACAAGGTTCTAAAATTGTATTACAAACATTTTGCACTGGAAAACCACCTTTCTTAGAAGGTGCATGGAAAAAACGAATCTCTAAAATCTTACAGAAAAGAATGCATGGTCCAGTGATGAAAAAACTATCCTGTATACAGTTCAACTATACTTACCTAGATACAAAATTTTGTAAATCTCCTTAAGAACTTTATATTACATTGTCCACATATCACTACTACAAACATTGAGTTTTCCCATAGAGAAAAGTCATGCCATTTTCAGTTATTATCTTAAAATCTATTCTAATCTCTTTTCTGGTCTTCAGAACTGAAAAGTGAGTGATTTTTACAAGTACTGTTTTATTAACTCAAGGTACTGGGGTTTCTTTTTCAAAACCTCACAGTCACAAATGTCAGTAGAACAGAAATTATTTATTAAGCACCCACATGCCTTTTTTTCTCGATGAACCACAATGACAGTGAAACACAGATAAAAAGAACACTGTAGTTGTATAAGTAATTTAATTAATGCTCATTAGCCTACAGGATAATATTATATCCAGGAGGCTGATGAATAAGACTGCAGACATGACAAGGCAAGCACCAAAAACATCTCTGTCATGCACTACAGGGTGAAATAGTGATTTTAAGAAGGCACAACACCATTATACCACCATGATACATCTGGAATTTGAAGGCTATAAGAGAGAACTGAATTTCTACTGAAAAAAGCAATGAAACAAGGAAAAGCAAATGTGTTTTTAGAAGGAAAAAAACTTTCTTTCAGCTCACTGGTTCATGAGATGTGTACCCGTAAATGTGTACAGTTAGCTCTCCAACTTCATTAGTATTTATATTATATCTTCTGAATCATTTGAGCGAGAATTATTCAGAAGTCCAAATCAAAGCTATACAAGAACTCATATCACACACTTAATCCTCTTTAACTTTGTAAAGCTTGTCATTTTTTATTTGTATGCGTGTAACGGGGAAACAATGGAATACAGCCATGTTTCGGAGTTGTATTAGTCTCTTCCTGTAATTTTCGCAGAATTACAAATGTTTCGTTTCAGCAGCTTTCCAGGTATGAAACAAAAACTAAGTGTTTCTTCTTGCTTCATGTTTGAAGTAAATCCAAAACAGCTTCTATCCTACAGAATTCCTCTAACAAGATAAAAACCATTTCTGAATGTCAAACAGTTTGAACTTAGACTTGGATCATTTTTGGTAAACTTTAGGCACCAATCATTTCACATCCGAATGAAGCTACTTTAAGCCAATATAAGCCAACAACAACCTACTTTACAAACAGAATGTACAGTACTTAAGAAAATGAACTCCTCTGGAAGAATGCCTCTGTTGAAATTTGGCATCCTTTTGCAACAGAAGGAAGATACATGTTGATCTGGTAATTTTAGACACTCCTTCTGTTCCATTTAATGTATAGCATCCAAATTCTTCAGTGGTGCCTTACAGACCTACTGTACATGAAGCCTATGTAACTTGTGACACTCCTTAATCTGTTCTTTTAATTATGTAATGAAGTTAAAAAAATGAACAACCAACCCTCACATGTATTAGAGGAATAAATCAAGAACATCATTATTGGTGTTTAAGATATTTAAATTAAAAGGTGTGGTTTAATTTGATGATCATATAGAAAGCAAGAAATCACTAACATTATCATAAAAGGGGTTGCACCATTAGAAACTATACATTCAAGAGTTCTGATTTTTAAAATCAGAATACTCCATTTATTCTAATTGACAAATGAAAAGATTATTTTGATATTTGAGATATTTCCAAGAGTTTATAAGTTTTAAGAGGCACACTGGTGCGGGGGTTAGCATTGCTGCCTTGCTTCTGAGTAAACTGGCCCTGGTGTGAGTGTGCGTGTCTGTGTCTCTGTGTTCCCTGTGATAGACTGGAGTCCCATCCAGGGTGTGTCCCACCTTGCGCACCTTGCTGGGACCCCAGGACCCTGTATTGGATAAAGCAGTTCGAAAACAGATGAATAAATGAATGGATGGATATCTCAAAGTTTAGTTTTTACATTCCCATAATTAAAGCCTCTACAACACTTAAAGGCAAGGCTATGGGACAAAACAACCAATGAAAACAGCCATGCACATGCATCTACTGTCACACTGCCAATACACTGTTCACAATGATTCACGTGGCGAAAGCTTCCATTCTGTAACCAACAATGAGCCAATATTTACAGCCATTCTAAGAACCTAAACCGAACTGACACAGACCCCATAATGAAGCCATAATAAAATAACAACAAAGGATGTTTTTTACTGTCAAGGTCATGAGGAATTAAAAAAACATTTTTCAGGCTCGCCTTAATCGCTGGTAATGAGTGCATTTTATAAATCTTTTTTCACAAATACAAGTACTGCTGGTTTTGCAAAAATACATATAATACATTTTATAACTAAAATGGGATAGAAAGCAAGATAATTATAATCTGTCTTACTGCATACACTTAATTTTTAACTCATCTGACTATTACCCATAGCTTATGCTAACCAGTTGGAGAATAGAGAATCATGATTAATTAGAGCCTAATTATTCCTTGCAACCACTTACACCAAAAAACTGCTGCGGGTCTCTGAAGAAGTGAGCTACATTTTATCACAGAAACATTTTTTTTCCCTTCCGGTTGGTTACCATGATTAATAGTGATTATATTCATTGTGGATTCATTACAACAATTGCTAATTTAGCTCCAACAACCTGCAACATATGAATGAGGCTTATTAAGTAAAAGCTGCTGCTGGGTTCTCAGGAACGCCTGTCACGTTGAAGGGCAGAGGGCTGTGGAATGTAATTTATTATTCCGCAACACGTTTTGTCAAGTCCCTTAGCAGCTGGTTCATACTTTATCAAGACAAATGCAAGTCAAAATCAGGGTGCCCTGAAGAACAAGACCCTATTAGGCTATAATTCGCATCTTATAAGACAACCCTTACAAAAGAAACATCTTTGCCAAAATGCCTATATAAACTCTGCACAGCTGTGTACGGTAATTAATGCTACACATCTGCAAGTATGAAATGCAATAACTTTAATTTTAGTTGTTACTGTTTAGCTACACTTGGGAAGTATCATACTATAATGTATTATATTGTTTGTCCAGGGTAGATTGGTTAAATCAATGTTTTTGGGACATACATTATGCATTTCTCTTTGTTGGAAAACATTTCATGTTCATTCCAAGATTACCAGGATAAGACATTTTGTGAAAAAAACGACCTTTTCTTAGATCACCTGTACTGAAAACAACATTGATATTTCTGATTATTTATTCTGATTAAGCTGGTTTGAAACCAATGTGTTAGCTTTGAGATACAATATCGTGTTTTCTTTAAACTGTGCCGGATTCTAATTTAAGAAATATTTTAAGGAAAAGGGTCCTTATCTATAAATTCTTAATGAAAATTCAAGGGCTGGGGATGTTCCCAGGATTAAATATTAAAAGAATGTCTTGATGGCTAGGAGGTGAAACATTCACATAAAATGTACTAATAACAGGCACAGTTTACCTTATATTTAAGCAAAAAAACAAAGACACTTTAATCAGCACAAAAATAAAGGTCTTATATGTCCGCAATTTTTGTAAACTTCACAATGCATTGTAGACTGAAGAAAGCTTTACCTAAAAACAAAAAAGTCCAATAATTAAATTCAAAATCAAAAGCATCAGATACCTTCAGATTTGGTTTGGAAAGTTGTCACTGGGTATTGGACATTAAACTCCGAGTAAAATCCTGAATGTCCAAAAAGTCACATGTTTCTGACTAATGCTATACTGATAGCTAATATAACTATACTTCTTTTTTCCACCTTATGTGTTTGGCATCTCTTACCTTTTCCAGGGAAGGTGGTGGGTTAAATCTTTCAGCACAGACCAGAAAAGCATCAGGATGTGGCTTGCCATTCTTTACTTGGGGGTCGTCTCCCAGCACAATGTGATTAAACAAATGAAAAAATTCTTTGTGTCTGCTTGTTTTCATTTCAAATGTCACTCTCGCAGAGCTGGTGCCGACAGCCATGGGAATGTGGTGTTTGTGCAGATGGTGGATCAGCTTTTCAGCTCCTGCACATAAGGAAGAGACTATCAATAAGAAACTGCACATTTGTACTCCAGGCGCCCTGTGTCTATGTTATTGGTGTATGGCAGTTCCATACGGGTGGACTAAGAACTTTTGTCTGCGATAAAATATCCTAGCCTACACTTAAGTAGATAATTAGTCAACCACCTCAAAAAGAGTTACAACGCGGCTCCGTAGTGAAACACATCCTAAAAGTCCACAGAAAACTGTTATAAAATTCTCTTTACCACCTTAACATCTTGGCAAAGTTCTGAGCAACTGTACAGATTAAAAGGAATAACACAATAACACAAATCAAAAACCAATGAGACAATGTACATCAGTATTAAACTATGAATATCAACATTGATTTCTCTCCTTTACCAACACTAAGAAATTAATGACAGTAAAAAGAGCCCTTGAAACTTCAAAGAGAATTGGAAAACATACTTTCCAAGGCTAAATAACAGCTCTGTGGGTCAGCAAGATATTTTTTTAGCAGTGGCATAAATGGGTAGTAAAAGAGATGTGGAATAGGAGCATCCACCTCAGATTTACATACAAAAAAAACGTTTGTTCCCGAGACAAATAAATCAATTACTGTATATGATTTTTTTTAAAGCAAATGTGAATTTTCCAGGTGTATTATATTCCACTTAGGGTACAGAAAGTAATTTCTGTACAGTTAAGATTTTCGCTTTTGCTAATGTCATAACAATTTTATTCCAAATCCAAAAATGTAAGTTGATATTTTCACAGAACTGAGGTTGATTTGGCACAGGATGACCTATTAAGGAAACATGAATATTTTAGGCTTTTATGCATAGCAACAATAAACCATCTATGCACTTAGAATTGCCTGTAAACCAAATAAAAGTACTTCTTAAGTATCTAAAAGTACCTATTTTCATATTCATATACATTATGCATACGGATTGCATGTTTCTGGGAGAAACAATCTGTGGAGATTTGTACTGTGTTTCCTAACAAGGACTCTGTTTGCACTAGTGAATGTGCTGCTACTATACACAAGAGAGTGAAAATTGACTCAGCTGTAAGCTGTATGGGTATTTAATTCTGTTATGTAGCAAGCAAGGTTCATTCATGTAAAATGACCCCTTTTTGTACTGCAGAGTTTAGGATAGAAATGGGTATGCATTATTGTTTTCTTAATAATCCACTTTATACACACAAAAAGCACAAATCAAATAGTTTACAGGATTTCAAGAGGAAAAGTCAGTTTAAGTTAATGGGTGCCTTACAAGGCAGTCTCTCTCTCTCTTTTCTCATTATTAGAACCTTATTTTCAGTAACAAGGTCAGTCTAAGCATTTGCATACAGAATTATAAAAGATTTTTAGTGGACAGTAAAAAAAAATATTAAGACACTATACCCAAACTACTTCAAAGCAGAACTGTTAATTAAAATTGAAAGATGTGAACCTATCAGGACAATTCAGTTAAATCTTTAATCTCCCCTTAGAAATGTATCTTGCCTTTGTCTTGTATCAGTTATACATCTGTTATGGTAAAGTCAGAGCAGACAGCTCTAAACAAAACAACACTGCTTTTGCACTGGTTTCAAAATGTTGCGCAACAATAATACATATGATATGATATGTATTATAAGGCTGACTAAAAGTTAACACTGTGAAATAAAAGTCAAAAGTGTTATAAAACACAGTTTTGACCTAAGTAATACTTAACTGATTCAGTAAGTGCAATTTGATTTTTCCACACAGGAAATGTAAATTTCAACATGAATGTAAACTTTTGAAGAAGGCTCCATGGCCAAAACGTTGTGTTTTCTTTCTTCTCTTTACAGCATGGAATAAACCTAATATATGTATATACACACATGGCTAATAGCTATTATTATATAATTACTATGATATATTACTATTAATATTATAATATATACAATATTATACATTACTATTAATATTATAATGATATATATTATATACATTATAATATAATAATAGCTATTATGCATGCAGATAAGGTAGGCCTAGTAGTGATTAATATATGCGGCCCGCGAGACTTGCTTTTAGCCAGGTGGCAGCCCGGTTGATAAAAAGGTTGAGAACCACTGCCCTAAAGGGAACAACAGGACATCAAGGTTGATCTGTAGATTCCTAATGGCTAGGAATCATGTGTCACATTAACATTTTGCAGGCTGTATTGTAAATAATTATATGTTCCCTAGCTAGTAGTAAAATTAGTAATGTCTTTGAGACACACACACAAGATATAAAAAGAGCCTGAGCTGATCTTTTCTATGATCATTTACATTCAAATAAAGAAATAACTAATTACTCAATAAAGTGTACATTCTGCTTATCCACTTCTGGCTTCTGTATAGTGCTACAAAAGAGAACGTTAGAAATGAGAGCACTCTCATGTTGTGCACAATCAACATCAAACAGAAACAGCAGTATTTCAAATAATAAAGTAATAATAAAAGAACCTGGCATCAGTTGAGCTGAAGGAAATAATTTTTCTTGTTTTTTCTGACTTTCTTCTAAAAGTTCTTCAGCGGTCATTGGGAGCTCCAGGGAATCTCGTATTATTTTAGCAGCTTCTAATGCTTTCTTGCCCATTACTGAGGATTTAACTTCCCATGTATACTTCTTTCCAAAACGATCACAGATCTCCTGAAATGAAACTGTATACAGTCTTTCTGTATCTGCAAAAAGAGATCAAGGGTAATATTTTGATTTTCTGCCTTTCAACCAGTTAATCAAGCACATATTAAAATACTCAATGTTCTGTGATTTTAAGCTCACCATTAACCTTACTGTTTTAATGCACATTGAAACAGTGAATTATATATATCAAAACACTATGAACTTTTACACATTTTAAAATGAAATTTGTTATCATTACATTTAAATTAATTTCTCAGTCGATATACACCTTAACTAACACATTCACCAAGGAGGTTGCTTTAGGTTAGTTTATATTCTGAAAAAGGTTTTATCACCTAAATTGAAAAAAACAAAAAACAAAAACAAACTGGTAATCAAAAATAACCCAGCACTTATTAAAAACAAAAACAAGGTACTGTCGTTAATAAATGCTTTATTACTCTGATATTTTCTTCACATAAAAAAAGAATAACCAAAATGTTAAATAAGCTGTAGGGAAAAAAATACAAATAATAGATTTTATCCTGTGCTTGAATAAGACAGAAAGGAACGAGTGGCATAAGCACTGAGAGTTGACTGAGAGTGACCGAGAAGCAAGATCACCAAAGGACAATGCAGGGGAAACATCTTTCTAAAATAATGAATGAAAAGGGAGGAACACTGTAGGAGCAAGACAGCCAAGAAGGCAGTCAGACCGAAAGGAAACGGAGATGCTCTCAAATATAATAGAAGTTAGTAGAAAAATCTTTTTTTTTTTTTGCTAAAGGGGTCTTCACAGCTCTACTAATTGGGTATTGGGAGTTTTCAACGGTGCCTGCCGCTACGTGATATGATATGTATGGACATGAGCACGTTCTTTGTGTGAAATGTCCACACACTTTATTAAAAAATAAACTCTGATCAGCATTACTCTCTCTACATATCATACTTGGAATACAGTTAAGAAAGAAGGTAACGAAAATCGTAACCAATAGTAACAGAAAAGAGAAACGGTTTCTTTAGACGTCTTATTATCCTGCTTAGGAAAGTGCTGTACATTTGCAGTTTACAGTGCAGTATATACTTAGATTAAAGATATGTATTTCAAATCAGGAATATTAAAACCAAAAAATATAATAGTCAGTTAAATAGTGTGTACAAACCCAGCAAGAGCCCGTCCATGTCGAAAATAACATGAGTTACGGGCTGAAATTTCATTACTGTATCTTCCATACTTCCGCTCAGTACTACTAAAAAATTACAGGAAGTCTACCTCAGTTTAAAGTTGCTTTTGCAGAACCGATGGCCTACTGAAAATAATTACATGATCACCGATATTTTTAAATAAATTTAACAAAATCTAAGTCCTGTTTAGACGTTAGAATAGTTATATATAGAGATATTAAATAATTAAAGGGGGGGATGAACGCTGTAAATGTTTTATATTACAGTCACTCCGTTATTTTTATACTTGGCCTATCGTGGTGACTGATGGGAAACGTAGTCCAAACAATATACGTCCACCACTGTTTTGGTAGCTTTAGGAGTATTTCTACTAACCTACTCGGAAATTGTCAGATTTGTTTTTTCTGATGGTTGGTGCTTGTTACGGGAAAAAAAAATCTTAAGTAACTCTCGCAACCTGTTGTTTTATAAATAACCTTACCTTTTCCACTAGAAAATAAGATCAATAATACTTCTTTAAATGTTAAATTGGAAAGTGATGTATAAATGAAAATAATGATAAGAATAATACAATAAACAAATCAATTATAAATGTATAATAAATCAAATGTATAATAAAATAAAGGTTTGTTTATAATAAATAATACATTTATTTTTTATGTATTATACATTTTATTTATTATAAATGTATAATAAATTTAAAATACATTTTAAATTACATTTATTATTTATTATAAACAAATTCATGCGGAATCATTGCATAATAAAACAAAATTGTTTCGGTAAAAGCCACCATAATTACCCACTCCATATGCAACTGTTCTTTATGAGGTGATGGGGTTTAGTCGCTTTGTGATTTTTTGGTCCTGTTGTTCATATTTTAGGTCAATTTTTATTTTTGGACAGATATTAAAATTTCACTTTAGAATATCCATGAAAATGAAAAAAAATGAAACTATATAAAAAATGAATTAATGATGACACTTGAGTGACTCAACCAAATTTACTCCTGTATAGGGAGGTATGAGTTTCATCAGTGATGAAAAGTACATTTTAGAAATGTGAAAATGTCAAAGTGAATGGAAAACATATAGTTAACATCTAACATCTAACATAGTTAACAGTTGAATGACGGTTTAAAATGTGGTCTAATAGTTGTCCTACATTTTTTAAATTTTGACAGATTAGGTTAAATACATAACAACATTTTAATATTCCTTGGCAGCTTTCAAGAAATTTGGTAAAACTTTGTACTCATACATAGGATTCATACTGTATTTTCCTACACAAAACATTTCTTTGTGTTGGTTTTCCTTTCACAGGTACTGTTGTAACCTTTTCATGCAGCCCATGGAAAATATATTTCTAATACAAAAAGGCAATGATTTCTTTGTTTACAAAGACTTCTAAATGCTTTCTGTGGTACTAAATCTCCAAAGCTTTCATGGTTTTGCCTTTAGAGAAAAACAGATACTGCCTGAAATTCCATTAGTCACACTATCATCACCACTTCTAAACTAGAACATCAAAGAATGTGTTTCATAAATGTAAATTTGTTACCCTTCTCAGTTTACAGCAATTTATTGGTCACAGTATATTACATGATTTATATTAAAATAGAATCGAAATATAGAGGATATCAACAAATGTCAGCACTCTGACGTAAAGATCACAATACTAAGGATGAGGTAGGTTTCAATGCTCGTTGTAATTGGTTATATTAAGGACAGACTTGCTAATTTGCTGATTTATACACAAAAAAAATCAGTTATGAATAGATTGCACGGCATTGACTGCCTTTGAAACTACTCACATTCTGATTTTTTTCTTGTATGATTTATGCTTGAATGGTGAAATTTCTTAATGACACACATCCCAATGACAAAACACCTTGGCATAATAAAGAATGCTATAGGAACAAGGTTGTGCGAAATTAATTATTTTTAGACCATTTTAAACATAATACAGTTTTATTGGTTTTGATGAAGCATTTATATACCCTGCCATTTATTTATGTACAATGTAAATTCACTTTAGTCCAAGTAAAATGAATGAAACCCTTTCTTGGGTAATACTTAATTGTTGTACATGTGCAAAATATGATTTCTCCAGATGGACACATTGTTTTCCCTGCTGTTGTACCTTTAAAGACATGACAATAGAAAGAGTGCATGAATGTGTGAAGACCCATGTGTTCAGAGATGCCAAGTGCTTGCTGCCCTGGAGGCTGAGATTTAAAGCAGAAATGAGGGTGATACAAAGCCAGACACTTTTTGCTTTCTTGGCAGGGGGTTTCCCTTTCAACTGTGTAATTGTCCGGCCTCACAGCTTCTCTTGCAACAGTTTACCCTTCCAGGTGGGGGAGGCCTGTTTGAGTGTGATGTGTGAAAGGTAAAGTGTGCAGCCTGGATGTGCAAGATAGCGTCCAAATGCATGGGTCTCAGGCTTGATGTGGGAACGTTAACTAGCGTTTTTTTGTGTTCAGCTATTTCTGTGCGTCATGGAAGAAGCAGTGTAACATTGGGTCAGGTGCACAAGCGCACAAGTAGCTACTAAGTTACGGCACTCGAGTTAGCATGAAGACTGCCAAGCGTATCATAGCTGCAAAGCTCCAGTCCTCGGGGGTCATAATCCAGCAGGTTTGCTGATGACCTTTGAAGAGTGTTGAACCGGTACAATTAAGATAATGATCAGCTCAGTTAGGTCGGTAAGAGCAGAAGTAGGATGAAAACTCAGAGACACTGCAGCCCTCCAGGACTGGAGCTTTGTGCACTTCTTGCTGAAATGATCAGCGGATGTAAAGACCATTGAACTTCTGTTCACATCCTTGCTAGGTGTATAAAGATGGTTTCTACATAGATACACTTTTAAATTTGTTGTTAAAACAAAGGGACCGGAGGACAGACTTCACATGGGTACTTTCCTTTGTGGAAACCTAAATTGAATGTAGGTAGGTTAGTTTTAAATTAAGCTAAATATAGTAAGTATTTACTAATAAAAAAGCAGCTTGATTTTAGTCAAAATATCTGAATCGCACGGGAAAGAAACTCAGAATATTACTTCTGCATCTGAAAGTTAAAGTTTTCTATATTTCAATTAAATATGAGCTTACTTTGTCTGCAGCTGTATTGCACTGTTTTACATACTGTACTAAATAAATGAGAAATAGATTCACTGAACCATATGATAAAATCTATTATGATAAAGACAGACTGAGATTTAAAAGTCAAGTGTGTCTTTTGTCACTGAAGCCCTGGGAAAAATCGATATTGTATATAATTGGGGAAATCTGCAAATAATGTTTAAATCTGCACATGAAGAGACAGAAGTGCAAGCCTTTTAATATTAGCAATGAAAGATTGAGAGGCTTTAACGCATGATGCTGACAGAACATAAAAGGTATGCACAACTATAATCCCAACTTTATCTTTGATGACCAAGTACTTATGAGGAATCATTGCATTTAATGGTCTTCAGCACCTGTGCACATTCCTCACAAAACTCCTCAACCATCCCCTAAAGTAACCATTAGCAGCTTATTATCATTAAAATAAGTGATCTGGTAAGAAGAAACTGAAGATTAAGAGAAACTGGAATTTTGAACTTTTCTTTATTTTTTGCATTCACTTTTTAGTTTTTTTTTACTTTCCAAACTCTGTAAATTGTGGACCACACTCAATAATGTGTTTTAGAAACTTAACAGTATGCAGAACATGAATCTACTTTTAATTGCAGTAATAGTAGTAGTCTCATTCTGAATAATGTTTGAAATGTGACATCTAAAACATGAAAATAGTACAGCAGTCATAACACCAGCACAAAGAACTGAGTCCTGGGAACATGTTTTTGTCTTCTTTCATCCTCAAATTACTCTGAATGATTCCGTTACTCCAGATCATACCTTGCAGGGACAAAGGGCCTAACTGTCAAATGAGCAATATCATTGCTTAGAAAGCTACATACTGTAGGTGGTACTACAGCATCCATCAAAGAGGTTTTCAAAAGTGAAATATTTTTAAATGTGATGTGGTCACTAAACAGAAATCACTAAGGATTAAACAGAAATCACTAAGGATAATATGCTGATTATCATCGTGCTGCACATACAGTTTACTCTGATTGAATTCTTACAGTCAAATGGCTTGCAGACAGAATGTAATTCTACTGTATTGCTATTTCACAGCCATGAAAATGACACAACAGCATTGCACCCTGCAGTCTTATAATGTTTAATATCCCATGAGGCCTATTGGTTCAGTACCAGTTTCAGCAGTGTGGGGCTCTCTGATATCTGGTGGGTTGTTTTAGAAGCAAATGCTTTTGGCTGTCACTTAGCACTGCTGGTTTTTCAGGATGAATGATATCACATATTAGACTAATATCGTGTGATGTGACACTCAAGACCTCTTAGGAATAATGACACACTGAATTTATGTATATTTAGTTAAGTTCACAGCATGTTGGTTACATGATACTCAAAACTGAAGTTACATTTTGCTGCAAGAATGCATTATGCACACATTTTTATGGTTTCTTGTTTTTTCATTTTGACTATATTATATAAAAGGCTGTCATTCAAGCAATTGGAAAGTACCACACCAGCATAAGAATTTAAGAAGTTTAGGTGGTGATACTACTGATGTGTGATGAATAGCTCCTGGGAAGGAAATACTACATGACCAGCATCATGAAATCAATGTTTCAGTTAGTGAAGGGTACTCCAAGTGACAGATTGCGGCCTGACTTCATGAGCTGTGTGCAAAACTGATGGGTATGTGCAAAATGCAGTAGAATTGTGGATGACAGAAGCAGCTGAGAAAGAATGACTAACCCCTTTCTACATGCTTGGATACAATTGATAAAAAATATATTTTGCTATTGACCTACAGTAGCTCGAAGTACAGGAACAAGCAATGTTTAATTCCACGCTTAAAAACAAAAAGAAAAAAACAACATTTTGACTGTTAAGCATTCTTTAGGTGAGAGGATGTAGTAGACAGAATCAGGAGTTCCTTCGCATTCCTTCAGTCAGACTCATGAAGTACTATACTGTACTGTATGTACAAGTTTTGAAAATATAACCTC